AAGAAACAATGCATTTATGAATAAGATGATTTGATGCATGAAAACTTTTATATATATATATATATATATATATATATATATAGGAAACGTGAGTTCTAATTCCAGTCGAGTTCGTTATATTCACTTACGCGCAAGTACCCTTGGGAAGTGTATGGATCTAACTCTTCTCCTCCCCTGCTATGGGTTAATTAGTAGGACTTGTATCAGGAAGTCATTATTGTCTTCAAAAAATTCATACAATCTAAAAATATTCTCTGGTTTTGAATAACAGTCAAAGAGTTTCATAGCCGTAAAAATCAAATCAATCAAGTCTATTCTTTAATTACAACATATTTAATTACACAAATCATATAAAAAACGTCTCAAAGTTTCAAACTTAGTTCTCAACATGGTCTATTTCTCATTTCTAACTTTGATTGTGGATATGCAAATCCATCTTGTAAATGCTTCATGGTTGCTTTCTTAGACATTTGTGCGTTGCTTTTCTCATCACATCATCACTAGATTATTTCTGCCATTTGACTGCCTCCTTCTTGAGCTGAAAGAAATCAAAATCTTAGGGTACCAAACCAGGACACTAGAAGAGCTAAATCGAGGTTAGTAAAGTAAATTATTTAAAAAAAAGAAAAATGGACAAAGTGTATTGGTCAAAAAAATTAATGTAAAAAGAAGGACTTTGGATAAGGCCCCCAACTAATTACCATCGAATTTCTTTTTTTCTATTATCATCATGAGTGGTAATGATAAAATTAATTTTTGTCTGTTTATGGCAGTGATAAAGTTTTGTACCACTAAACATATCTTTAAATATATATATATATATATATATATATATATATATATATATATATAGGTAACTATACTCGTTTCGAAAAACCTTCGAATTTTTAATTTGCTAATAATCAAATCAATCTCGAAGGAAAAAAAGGTTTTAAAAAAAGAAAGAGCTAGAAACATGAAAGTCTGTCGAAAAAATTCGCACAGATGCAGGTTTGAAGCTCAAAGAAAAAACGCCGACACGAGTAAACAACTAATTAACTAAAAGAGCTCAATACAACCGTAGAGCAGACCTAGATAAACCTAGTGAGCCAGACAAACCTACCCAGGTTTCACCTAAGCGGATCGTCAGGAAAGCTTTCCAGTCAGCTTTCCCAGACGATCCGCTTAGGTGAAACCTGGGTAGGTTTGTCTGGCTCACTAGGTTTATCTATCTATCTATCTATCTATCTATCTATCTATCTATCTATCTATAGGTTCTTTTTTCCAGGTTTTCAGAAATTCTATGACGAGTTTTTGCTATCAATATGTGTTTAGAGGGCAACCAATTTACGAGCAGGAAAACAGAACATTTTCCCATGAGCTTCCAGACACACACACACACACACACACACACACACACACACACACACACACACACACACACATATATATATATATATATATAGAGAGAGAGAGAGAGATAGACGTTTAGTCGCATTTGTCGTAAGAATCACTAAAAACCCTTCGAGTTATTCAGCTAGAAAGAGAAGAGGTTAAAATCGTTTTGTGTCAGCCCCAGTGTTTTTCAAATGAGCAATGGTGAGAGGCAAAATTATTCAAGCCTTCAGTAATGGTAACACCATTCATACTCTGGCTTCCATCTTCAAAGTCCATTCAAGAATCATCAAGAGAACGGTGACTCAGTTTAAAAAGAAGGAACAATAGAGAGGAAAACTGGATCCAGAGGTCACAACAGGAAGAGGGGTCATCATTTCAACTTAGAGTTAAATAGATCAATTAGAAAAGATCTACTTCAATTCTTGAGACGTTTGGCACTTGAGACAGGAGTTTTACCTATGACAGTCCAAAGAGCAGTGAATATAGAGTTGAAAATGTAATAGTACGTGAAACGTGTGAGGTACCTTGTTACTCCAGGACAGAAAGTTAGAAGGTTAGAGAGGGTGAAGATCATCTTGAATAAGTTGGAAAATTATCCTGGAATAATATATATATATATATATATTTGAACATTATTTCATTCCTTCATAGGATTTCGATCCTTAGCTATGATTAATTAACGAGGAACATATCATTTTCGTTTGTGATCGATTTCATCATAATTCTTCAGTTAAGATTTGAGATTAATTATACATTATATGCTCAAATAGAGTCCGATAGCCTTACAAAAACCTCGGAGAATTCCAGTAAAATATCTTTAATAGTTTCTAAGATACAATGATCCAAACTTTATTTAACAATAGGATATTTTGCTATCACACGATTTGGACAATTTTGCCGATACACTCGGTATATATATAAACATATATAGTGTTTCCCAAAATACAAAAATAAAAATGGTCGACGGGAATATTTCTAGAAGATAAAGCTTTTAAGGTAAGAAGTGCTTGTAATTAAAGTACGCAATATCAACATAGACCATTAATAGTAACAAATAAAAAAAATGCTCACTTGTCCATCCGCGGACATTTCATCCACACATCAGGAGGCTTGATAATAAAATTGAACTCATTTACAGAAATCAAACAGCCTAAACTGAGATGTCCTACTAAAGAAGAACACAGCACCCAATAAGAATCGAACCTGCATCCCTTTTTTTACCTTGGTAAAAGCACTCTTTAAGTGTGTAGCGCGTCTCTACGAGTTCGGCCGCGTAGCCTGACTAGGAAGATAGTCATAATAACCTGTTAAAGAAAATGTTTTTCTCGTTGAACCTTCAAATTTATATCTGCACGCGTTTATAGTAATCTCTCTTGATAAAACAGAGGATGTCTGTCTGTGTGTCTGACTGTCTGTCTGCGTGATATCTTTTCACTCGAGACCCATGCAACCGATTTTGACTAAACTTGGCACATATATTGTACAATGTAAGAGATAAGTTCTTAGCGTAAAAATCGATAATTTTAAAAATATCAATAATCGATAAAACCGATCGAAAATCGATAAATTCAACTTTTTTCCTCCGATTTCGCTCAAACTCCGTATGTAGGTTACTTATATCATGACGAGATCAACGATACCTCATTTTAATTTTTATGCCACTGCGTTTAGCGAAAAACCGCGAAAATCGAAAAATCGATTTCAACACAAATCGATTTCAACACAAATCGATTTCAACACAAATTTTAAATTAAAAACTCCCTCAATTTTCAAGCAATCTAATACAAACTTCACTCAATTCTAGCCAACAATAAGTTGATTGTTTAACAGTCATCTAACTTGATAACTGAGTCCACCCATATAGTGAAAATCCGTTTAAATAGCGAAAAATGGCGATTTTTACTGGTTTCTTTCAACCAATTTTCATCAAATTTGACAATACATAACGTACATAAACAGAGCATTTACTTAAATATTTGTATCTCTAAAAAGAACGTATAAACATCAAAAGTCTTAACAATAATTGTCGGACTTTGTTCATTTCATAATGTGTGACGTCATTTGTTTACATTTGGATACGCATCGAGCATATATGCATGTACTCGAGAAAATCATGGAGAATTGTAGTTTAAAAACAGTAAAATCGATCTTGCTAACCGAAATGCTCCTCTGTGGCTCATTCGGTAAAAGCACGTCACAGTTCCGTCATAGGATACGATTCCTATCGGAGGTCGCATGTTTTCTATGAAAATTTCTCGGGCATTCAAGCCGGTAAATGTTGTTAATACTGTTTATTATAAATAGAGTATTTACTTAAATATTTGTATCTATAAAAAGAACATTTAAACAAAAAATGTCTTAAAAATGATTGTCGGACTGTCCATTTCATAATATATATATATGTCGTAAACGAACAAAAAAAAACGATCTAATCAATTTCTATTTCCACCACAACCAAAAAATTGAAATCAAAGGATTTACGTTAGAGCCCTTAGGATATGCATCTCGGAATACCTAAATGAAGAAGAGAAATACATTGAGAAAACTTTCAATCTTCGCCACTACCCACATTATTTGATCCTCAACGCAAAAATAACGAGCTTGCAAAATCCACAAAACCAAAAAATAAATAAATAAACACTACCAATAACACTTCTAACAAAAATTACACAAAATTCATAATCCTGCCCACCATCAGTCTTTCCACTGATCTCGCAAACGCATCAGTCGTCTCTAATACTAGGGTCGTTACCACCAACTCCAAGACAATCGGAGATATAATTAGGAAGAAAAATAAACCCAGCACCGATTCAAATGCCGGGATTTATCAAATAAATTTTATACAATACAAAAATGTTTATTTTGAACAGACATCAGTCAGTTATGTGCCATGCGGGATACACGCTTAGGCGATCATGTATCGAGAGATACATGATTGACGAGGCAGATTTTTTCCCGCAGTAGGTTGATATTTCTTTCTGCGGTAGGCCAGTTGTCATCCAATGCTAAAGAACCCGGTCTATCCTGCTATTTACCCATAGCTGGGGTGGGGGGAGACGAAGAGGATTCATACCTTTCCCAAGGGTATTAGCACGTAAATGAATGTAATGGATTCGACTGGAATTCGAACTCGGCTTGCATTGAAACGATGCTGGACATAACTTTGATTTCACTAATGCCACCCCAATTAAAAAAGAACATAATACTTTAAAGAGAAAATAATAACTTTATTACCAACTATAAGCACCCGCCTAAAACATTGTATTACATCGCAGTCTTTCTTTGAATCCATTCTTAAAGAGTCTGGCTTATATCTATCTAATACAAAGAATACATTCCTAAAGAAGCAAGCTATAAAATGAAATCCCTGCGATTTCCCGCTGCAAAAATGGGTCGCACGAATGGCAAGATAAAAACCCCTGCTAGACAGATAAACGCACAGAATTACAATTACACATTACCATTCGTTGTCCACTTAAACATACGAAATTCTTCACAAGCCTAAATACACATAGATTTATCCAACCTCTCAACAAAGCTTTAATAAAAGTAAGACACGTTAGATGGATACACGTTTCTTATTTCTTTTTTATTATCTTGTTGGATTCTGATCGATATTTGATCTACATTTTCTCTTCAATCCATATATATATATATATATATATATATATATATATATATATATATATATATATATATATATATAGGTGTATTTAGGCAGCAAATTCTCTTTTTGCCATGTCTGAATGAATAAATTACTGCTTATTGTGATCATAATCCTTTCATATTCACGAATATTTTTCAGCATATTACAATTAAATAAGGCAAGAAATGCACTCTAACAGTTAGAATCACTTTTATTTGTCAAGTACTTTCCGTTTCTTTCTGAGAGCATCATCAGGAGTGCCGTTGGTAAGACAAAAAATTCAGTAATGTGTAGCTTTTTGTAGTTTTTTGCCTTAGCAACTGCACCCCTGATGATGATCTCAGAAAAAAGATGGAAAGTACTTGGGAAATAAAAGTGCACTGTTACAGTGCATTTCTTGCTTTATGTAATTGTAATATAGGGGAAAATATCCGTGAAAATGAAAGGATTATGATCACAATAAACAGACATAATGTTTGTAATTCATTTAATATAATAATAATAATATTAGTAATAATAATAATAATAAAAATAATAATAAGAGATTATTTCTTATTAGTATAAACGCTAGCAAATCTAAATTCATAAAAGACTCAACGAGAAAAAACATGCGTATGCAAGAGAGTGACAGAGAAAGATTTCTATCTGTGTCTTAGTATGTGCGTGTGTATGGTATATATATATATATATATATATATATATATATATATTAGTGGTCAATATATATATATATATATATATATATATATATATATATATATATATATATAATATTAGTGGTCAATATATACATATATATATATATATGTGTCAATATATACATATATATATATATATAATATGTATATATATATATAATACTAGTGGATAGAATCCATATATATATATATGTGTCTGAACCCAATAGAATCCAGGACAATGTCCAGGACAGAGAATATAATATAAAAGGCTCAAACACTAATATTCTATAATTATAATTTATTGCATTGGAATCGTAATCACGATTTCAATGCAATAAATTATAACCATGGAATATTAGTGTTTGAGCTTTTTATATATATATATATATATATATATATATATATATTTATTTATTTATTATAATTTTATTATATAGACAAAACCATTTTACTCACTACAAAGATGCAACTTAGTTTCAGCGCATTTTAACTGCACTTCGACGAATCGAAAATGGTTATCTTTTAGTGAGTAAAATGGTTTTGTCTATATGATAAAATTATAATAAATAAATAATTATCGCTCTACTATTGGTATCGTGTCCTCTTTTGGATTAATGCTGTGAACGTTGGAATTTATATATTACTTTCGTTCTCATCGCATCGGATATATATATATATATATATATATATATATATATATATATATATATATATATTTAATTTTTATTATGCAGTGAATGTTTTCACGATATAATCTGTATTAACTCATTGATGTTGATAAAATCTTTATATGAGAATGTTATTCGGAATAATTTATAGATTAAATGCAATGACTCATCTTAGAATTTCAGAGAATGAGGAATTTTGAAGCGTGCATCTGCACAAACATCTTGATAAAAACAGTAAGGATAAAGATATTGGTCCATCTTATAATTGAATTAATGATAAACTGGCATGTTGAACAACCTCATTTTTCGCAAATAATTTGTGCCGGCGAGCCTAAATTAGTTGTCTTTGCCCGAGGGTGTATTCTCTACCACCCACAAGATAACAGACACAGCAGATGGCTGGCACAGCCCTACTGTTTAAATGGCAGATACCAGTGGCCCACTATTCGTGGGATTCCCAGAAAGAAGAAAAGAAAAAAAATCTCACGATGAAAAAAAAAAAAAAAAAATGAAAAAAAAAAAAAAAAAACAAAGACGAAAAGAAATAAACTCATTATGAAAGATGAACAAGAAAGAGAAAAAAAAAAAAAAAAGAAAGACGAAAAATGAATAAAGGTAGAAAGGAAAATAATGAAGAAAAAGGGAAAAAGGGGGAAGAGTAAAAAATAAGAAAGAAGGGGAAAAGAATGGAGAAAGAAAAAAGAAAAAGTAGAAAAATGAAAAGCAAAAGAAGAAAGAAAGAACGAGAAAGAAAAAACAAGTCTGAATAAAGGAAGAGTGAAAATGGTTGGTACAAGGTTTAAAAATACTGAGCGATCAAAATCTTCAGTCTTTTTTTTCCTTTTTTTTGTTATATATATATATATATATATATATATATATATATATATATATATATATATATATATATATACTTCGTTGTATTGATATATGTTTGTGACCCTGGATTTCACGTCCTTATTTTGCCAGGCGATCGCAAGGGCGTGAAACCCAGGGTCACACAATCATATACAACTAAGTATGTTCGCTCTATCACTGATATTGAGGACTTTCCAATATGTACCGCATATATACAATAATAAAATAATATATATATATATATATATATATATATATATATATATATATA